GGAGTGGGTTTCTGTGGAACGAGGAGTGGGTTTCTGTGGAACGAGGAGTGGGTTTCTGTGGAACGAGGCGTCGCTTCAAACCCGCTGAAGCAAAGTTTCAGGCGCGGAGGCGTTCAGGGTCGAGTTTTATCTACGGAAACTACAGAACTGAGGCGTTAACGCTGGAGCATGACTCTCAGCTACCACCACGTCAGATCCATGCTGCGCACGTCCAGTTCACAGAGTTCACGTCTTTTTCACGTTCAAGATCGTTAGCCGTGGCGGCCATCTTGAATTGTATCGACTCCTGTCGATGTATTTTCTGAGTTTCGTTAAAATCCATCCAGCGGTTCATGAAATATTTTGCTAACAGAGTTGACTCCAGTAGTTGATGCCAAAGTTTAAAACAAGAACGCCCGCGATCTTTGAGTGTTTCAGACGTGTTGGGACGACTCTCGGCTACTACCACCAACAGTTTCTGCTCAATGTCTGGAAAACTGACAGCTGTAGATATTTTGTGTTTAAGGTAGATTAGCTGCGGCAGCCATCTTGGGTGGGGGGGGGGGGGGGGCGCAGAGGCTAGAGAAGGTGGGCCTGTGATCGGAAAGTTGCTGGTTCAACTCCCCAAAATGTGGGTGGTAAAGGTGAAACACCCCCACCTGCCTCCACCCTCATTTGCCCCACTCTGAGCCCTTGAGCAAGGCCCTTACCCCCCCAGCTGCTCCCTGGGCGCCCCAGATGTCAGAGGGGCTGTGGCAGCTCGGTGTCGAGTCAGGAAGAACGTCCGACGTCGCCGAGTCTTCGTGCGAGTTCGTTCACTGGAGACCCTGAAGAAGCATCTGTGGCGGCCATCTTGAAATGGGTTCCCTCCAAAAGTTCATCAGCTTAAAAAATCTTTTAAATCTGTTCATTTTGTCAACAAACGCATTCAGAGTAAAACTTTAATGGACGATAAATATTCAGAATTTGAGACTTTGTTTGAAAACATCTTTTGTTTAGTCGTGTACTTTATCAATTCTTAAATTCTGATTAGATTGTTGTGTTTTCTCTTCATAATGAAGCGGTAAATCAAAACGTTGTCATTAAATCTGTGAGAATCTGAAAACCAAGGCTGTAATTGTTAAATAATTAAGATTATTTGATGTAATTATATTTAAAATATTTATTTTAAGTGGTATAAAGGGCACCAGTAATTTAGTTCTAGTGTTACGGCGAAGTTCAGGAAACAAAACCGTACGGGACAAAATTAAATAAATAAATAACAGAATCCTTTGAGAACTGAGCGTCATTAGTTGAATCCTTACAGAGATTATAGTAAATTAATAATCTGACTGTGTTTGTTTACTGTAACTTCGGGAGATGTTTATTTATTTATTGATTTATTTTGTGGTAAACGAAGAACGCGGAGCCGGTTAGCTTCGCCCCGCACAGGCTACAAGATATAAAATTGCCTTTTTGAACATTACATTTTTTAACAACCTAAACAAATGAAATAATGAGCGTTATGTTTTAAACCTCAGGTGGTTTTATTATTTTATAATGGATTTGTGGCCGATAACTGATACCGATGTTTTATATCCGTTCCTTTGTCAGAACATATTCCTCTTATTTAGCTTATTTGTTACAAAATCTGTGAAACATCTGTAAGAGCTGGTGACATGTATTCAACAACAGTAATATGATATACAGAACACTTTAACTTATATTAAGTGAAAAGTGTTAAATGTTATTTATTAGCATTAGTCGCCTGCGATGATGTCGTGCGTCCATAATTTGTTTAGCTTCTCGTGCAGAGCCAACATGTTGGGCTAAGCTAACGAGCATCTGACTTTAGCTGTTTCTAACAAAACCAACAAACTTGGTAATCAGATTTCTTATATAGATTTTTTAATCAGTCCCAGAAAGTAAAAATGTTCAAGATTAATGAGACAGTTTAAACACAAAATAAATAAACTCTTTATGCTGATCAGAAATGATCAGAGGAAGGCGGCACAAAGAGCTTAAGTCTAATCAGAACACAAATATTTTGATAAAATTTCTAATAAAGTAAAAAAATACAAATCACTTTCTCAGTACACACATTTTAAAAATATTAATGGTAATTTTTAAATGTAGGTTCCTGTGGGAAAGTTAGAGGAGCGACAAACTGGACTTTTGTCACCTTAAAACAACTTTAATCATTAAAATGTTGTAATAGTTTACGTGAAAAGTATTTTATAAACGTTTACTGTTCACATTATTTACGTAAAACTCGATGGTCATCTGTGAGCTCAGACGGTACAACAGCCCGGGTCTTATCCTGCTCACGTTGAGTTTTTCTGCCAAAATAATTGTGTATTTCATGAGATGGACAAAATAAAATAATATTTACTGTCATCCTGGTTGCCTTCGGCGTGCTAGCTGTTAGCTTCTCCAGTCTGGTCAGAATTAAACTACGTGTCCAAACTGAGGACGTTTAAACAGTTTTCTTCAACAGTTCAGACATTAGTTGTGTGAGTTTAAGAAAATCTGATGAATCCGTTGAATAAATCAAACATGTCATAGTTTATTAGTAAAATAAGACGACAAGCTCAGATCGTTTGTCTTTTAAAATCTACAAAACACTTTGACGTATAAAAAAAAACTAAAGTCTTGTGTTCCTTGTAAAAACATTCACATCTCCTCCATCTTTCTCGTCAGTGTCGACTAAAATCATCTGATGAGGAAGTCGTCGTGGCCTTCTTGTCAAAGATATGCACAATCCCAGCCGAAGCTACGTTGTCCGTTAGCGCTTGTACCACGTGTCAAGTACGACTCTCAGCTACTACCAAGTCAAGGTCTGGTTGGGTTGAAGCCATGTTTGTGCTGGTTGAGATCAGTTGTCCGTCTCGAGTTGGGCTGACTCCACTCGCAGACGTACGTCACGTTTGTCCAGTGGGTCAGATGTTCAGTTCACCAAATGGTTACGTGAAAACTGACTCGCATCCACATTGTGAAGGGCGGCGGGTGATTGTCCAAACCCAGTTCTGCTCAAAGCTTCCGTGTCCACCAGGGATCAACACCGGGAAACAAACGGTGTTTGGATGGTGGAGCCCAGTGAGGGGCCACACACTGACCAGTTTCCTGCACTGGCTGGGTGGAGTCGTCCAGATCAGACGTCCACAGCTCTTATCTGGTCCAGAGGGGCCACATCACAGCTTCCTCAGAGACCAAGTCATTTAAACTGGCTGTGGTCAAACAGGAGCCCAGATACCATCACTTCATAAAGGCTGGGGGGGGGGGGGGGGGGGACGCTGGCGTCTTTCACCAAACATGGAGGCTGAGCAGAAAACACGTTGTTGTTTGTGACGGCCTGGAACGCCGTTTCTCTCCGAGGTCACAACGTGTGAAGTAACTAACGAGTTGGGACGTGGATCAGGTTTAGTCAGGTCCAGAAGAGTCTCGCTCTCCGTTACCTGCTCGGTTCTCAGGGAACGCGTGTCGTCCTTTATCTGTTGGTTCACGAGTTTCTGTCAAACTTCTCTTTCACCGAACACACAAATATTTAACTCGTTATTAAACGTAATTAATTATTTTTAATGAAAATTATAACTAGGTTTATGTTTTAGGATCTTGCGTATGGGATTAACAGACTTGAGATCCAGGACCAATATAAACTTTTAATTTGTCGACTAAGCAGATAATTTAATCTCTTTCTGCCAACAAAGATGAGCTTGAATTGTCTTTGAAACAAATTATAGTAAAGTCCTTGGGAGCCTCGTCTACGCTCCAGATGTTGTTACGGTTTCTTAGTAAATCTTTATTTTGCAAAAATTGTTTTCTTATTTTCTTAAACATGTTTTTTTAACCTAAAAATCTTATTTTGCGTAGTCACTAGAAAATCTGTTAAAATATCTGGAATAGTGCCAAAAGAACAGTAAATAAATAAAAAACAACTGAAAGTAGCTCTGGGCTGCACAAAAGTGCAGCAGCTAAATAATTTAAAATAATTAATTTGAAATAAAAGTCATGCCGGTCGTGCGGCTCATCCTTCAATCAGCCAGCTGTGTGACATGTCCAGTCTTATTTTGAAAAGCCGCGATAGAGCGAGTGCGAGAAACGAACCGTGAAGTTGTGAGGGACTACGGTACTCCGGTTTTCTTTGGGTATATAAGTTTTCTCCGGGTACTTTGGTTTTCTCAGGATATTTCTTCAGGTACTTTGTTTTTTTCCTGGTACTTGGGTTTTCTCCCACAGTCCACAACGAGCAGGTTGATGCTGCCTTCAGGCTCTGGCCTCTTTCAAAACTTGATTTTATCTGCGAGACTTAGCTGGTTATTAAATAATATCAAAATATTGGAAGTAAAATCCATGTATCCACACAACGGCACAGGGATTTAAAAGCTTTACTCGAGGCCTTCAAGATAATTTCTGCTAACTGTTTTATTAACTATTCACCCTGCAGGCTTTCACCTGAAACACTTCCTGTCCAAGCTGCTTCTGTTGCCTTCAAGCTACGAGGAACGTTTAGAGGCAGAAATGGGTTCAAATGGTCTTTTCAACTGGTGAGCTGTGATTGTCCATGTTGGTGAAGACGGATCCAAACGGCGCTCAGACAGAGAAAGGGCTTCGGGGCTCTTAAGAGTCCACACATCCCTGGATCGACTTCTGTACGGGAACATTTCATCCGTTTTCTGTCTCAAACGTGAAATGTCCAACGAGGGGCTGGAATCCGAGCTCTGAAGGGTCCGATCAAGTTCAGACCGGCGGACTCGTCTGCATGTCCTGCTTTCTGAGGCCGATTCTCGTGGCAGTTTCAAAGTGTCCGTGCTGGATGGACTTCTCTTCACGTGTCTGAGCCCTCCGCGGTTCTGATGGGCCCCGGGGTGTCGAAGGGAGGCGAGACCTCGGTATAAGGCGCGTTTTCGCTCTGCGGTGCAGGAAATTTCAGGCAAAGTTTAGAAAAGGTGCACAATAAAACAAGAATTTTCTGTGAACTGCAGGTTTATCAGGAAGAGCGACCGCAGATAAATATTTTGAAACATCTTGAAATCCAAATCCTCCCGAGCTCTGAAGCCAAACTGTTGAACTTTCAAGCGTCGGTCTGAACCTGAAACGATCTGGTTGTGTCTGTGGTGCGCACGCTCGGGGTATGGATTCATATTTTCAATGTGTCTTCTGTTGTTGGTCGCATGTTTTAAAGTTTCAGCTCTAATTTCTTCTGTTCTTTGTAAAGTCTTGGATTAAAAACGTCACCTGTTGCCGTGAAAAGTGGCCGAATGTTGCCTGTTTGTTGTCCTAGCCAAATATCATGAGCCAGTAATGGGTTTTTATGAAACACCAATCAGAAGTACATTTACAACAAAATAACTTTCAGTGTCAGTGGATTCCACGAAAAGAAGCTACAGCTCAGTTCTGCAGACGTTGAGCTGAAGTTTGGTCCCAGCAGCCGAGGGTCAGAGACCGAGTTTCCGTGGAATTGGACCGCCTTTGTTTAACTAATATAAATGTTAATAATTTGTAGATGGTCGCCACAAATAGTCGACCTTGGCCAACACAAAACGGTTATACAGTAGTTCCTCGTAGGCCTGTCACGATAACTCAATTTGCTGGGCCATTAATTTATTGTTAATCGTGACAGGCCTGGTCCCTCGTTTATCACGGGGAATCTGTACACAAAGTAGGAATAACAGTACAAGTAGTAAGTAGTTTATATATACTGTATATATATATATATATTTATGTACAGAGTGAGTCCATGAAAAGCGAACCGTGAAATAACGAGGGACTGCTGTAACTCAGTTTCAGATTTGGAGCTAAATGTTTTAGTGTTTCTTGCTAAAGGTCATTCAGAACAGTGCAAACACACGATTTATTTAAGTTTTGACCAACCTCCATTATTTCTCTACATAGGACGTGTTTGAAAAACAAGACAGTCAGCAGGTACTTCTGATTACTCCTAAGCTTTTAATTTATGGATTATACTAAGGGTAATGTTTTTATTTTTACTGGTCAGGATTAGATTTATTGACATTTTTAGTTTTGTTGTAACAGTTAACAGATTTAGAAAGACACTGACTTAACTTTCAATTGACTTGATTACTAAGATGAAAGTATAATGAACCCCTGCGCCACAAAACCTGATATAATTGTTTTTACAGATATTAAGAGTTGGAGCAGCTGAGTCAGTTCCACTTTGGCTCCATTAAACATGGCGGCGCACACAAACAGGACATTAGTCTCACTGTTGTCCACAGAAAGTAGCCGATGTGTCGTTTGCGTAGTGTCTGGATCAGTCCAACTGCACTTCACAGTCGGAGAGTTTAGGTTTTGGGTACAACGCCAGCAGAACTTCAAGAACGTTCACTTTGACCTCAAAAAACCTTCAGTCGTGTTTGATCGTGACCGTCGGCCGCCCTGCAAACAATCTGCATCGACGTGGAAACAACTAAACTGTTGGACTTTATTTTGAATTACCTGCGTCTTTGTGCTCTCCGTCGTATTTGGAAAATAAGTTTAACAGTTTAATTTGACCACCTTCCATTAAAAGGAAACAAAGGCGGACGGATAAAAGGTAAAAAAAGAAGGCACATTAAAAAACTCCTTCATTTCCTCTCAGACGCCTAAATGGTCACACTTCAATTAAATGTAATTAAAATAGCCTCTGCCAAACGTCACAGATAATTATTAGTTGTATAAACTTTTAGTTTTATCCCCCAGTTGTTTTTTTAATTTATAATAAAGTATAATTAAAGCAGGCGACTGATTAAGTGCAAATATTTGTGTTCTTCGAGCAGCAGAGCATGCAGGGACTATAGCAGAATAAAGTCTGTTTTCCTGCTCGGTGTTTGCAGAGATTGAAGCTACAGAGGCCTGTGATTGGCTGCGAGCCGCCGGCTTCCCTCAGTACGTGCAGCTCTTCAGAGGTAAACTCGACACGCAGAGAAAACCTGAAAGATGTCCCCCGTGTGTTGTTGTGGTTTGATTTCTCTCGTTTGCGTCTCAGACTGCAGGTTTCCCATCGACGTGGAGACGGCGAAATGCGATCACCGATTTCTGGACGAGGATTCTGTCAGTTCGCTCTGCAGGTGACGATCGTTTGATACGCAGCTGGTAGAAACCAATCTGAGCATCACAACTCAACCCAAGGAGCAAAAATACAGACTATTACAGAAACCACTGGCAAAATAAGATTCTGCTTCTTCTTTGTCTTCCAGTGAATGTTTATTCATGATTTCAGACCATTTCAGTGACACGCTTTAACGCTATCCACCTTATTCCTAGAGGCTCTACTGTATCAATGATTATGGGTACAACTTCCTGTCAGACAGGAAGTAGCAGCAATGTTAACCTTGGTAGCAGAGCACGGACCGCGGTTTATTTAGAAGTAATTTGCATTCAGTTTAGCAGATAAAACGCTGTTTTAGTTTTGTTTACATTTATTTAACAACCATAAAGTTTACTAAAATAGCCGTGCTGCGTTCAGGTACCTGTTGTGTTCACGGCTGCAGAACAACCAGACCAAACTAAATCGGTGGCTACAACAACAGAGTTTGAACACGGACCCAACACAAAGAGTTCCTGTGAAAAGAGCTATAGTTTCCATCTCCTACCTTCAGATGAGGAATCAATGTGTCCAGTGTTTCCCCCTACCATTATACAAGCGGGGCGCTCCACCCCTTCAACATAACCAAGCGCACCACCTACCGAAACCTGCTAGTAGATGGAGCTAAATATGCTAGTAAATGTAGCTAAATATGC